TTATTTTTTTTTATCTTGAATGGAGATTGATGTAAGTGTTGCGTGAGAATCCAATATCCTTATCTAACTTGTCTTTGGTAATGTGGCAGCCGCAATCGCATTGAAAATGCAATCAAGCTTTAGCGCCATTCTTTTTTTTTTTTTTTTTGTTGAGGCTTTAGCACCACTTTAGTAGTGTCCCCGTGTTTACAATTTTTTCGTCTGAATTAAGGTGAGCCAAATTTTTTAACTCTGGGTCTAGCCGTTGATTTTCTATAAGGGTAAAGACAAAAACAGAAGAAAGGTCTATGATTCAAGTAAAATTTGGATATGAAACATTTATAATCGGAAAACAAGGCTACTACAGATCCAGGTGGAAGAACTTTATGTTCCTGTCATTTTGTTTTAAAATATAATCTCGGTTCGTTACTTATTACCAACATAATCTATATTGATAAATTTTGAACGGAACTATATTTTTGAATTAAAAAAATGTGAATGCCCTGTAATCTATCAAACTATGAATAAAAATCATCATACCAGGCATATAAATCAACTGATATGAAATTGTTTAAGTTTAATCAGTAATTATAAATTCGAATCCTTCCTATTGAGTTGTATTAAAAAAAACTAGTTATAACCTACCTTATTCAACTGGTTTAAAATAAAATAAAAAATTACGTACTAACTGACTGATAGTGCAACCACCCATATTTGTTGAGGCCCGGAAATTTTAGCTCACAGATTGCCTCTTATCATCTCTGTTCCTCGTTGAGTCATAATTTTAGGAAGCCATTTAATTTTTTTTAGATATTCTAATCGGTTCATGGCTTCTCTACTAGTCTGATTCGAGGTGAGTCCGCAATTAAGGTTTTAATCACTCCGAAAGTTGGTAATAAAAATAATCAAACACATACTCTCACCTCGTCTACTCAGTTTCCTATTGCTAATTGAACTATTATCGTTTGGTATTTAATCGATTCTTTGTTTTCCTTTTGTGAAGATCTGAATGGACCTGGATAAGTTTGACACCACATTTCGTTCGACAATAGGTCTCTTAGGTCCTTGTTCGGTTCAAATCCGAAGTCTTTTGTCCCTCTCTGTCTCGGGCTTGTGCTTCTGAACAGTTCGGATGCATTATTATGCCCATTAGATGTCAATAAACAACAGTAAACTCATATAGATTTTGCTCAACTTGAAGATTCTGAGATATAATCCACTTGTATAATCCTAAATCCAAAACCTTATTACCAACTTAGCTCCTTTGCTTGCTCCAAAACCGAACCAGTTTAAATTTTGGATTAATTTTGATATGATTTTGAATATGTCCAAACTGATTTTAAAGTGGTTTTGAATTAATTCTATATCAAAATCGATTTTAAACCATAAATTGATTCGAAACTAATTTTAAACTAGTTTAGAATTTTTTTTTGGAAAAGGCAAAATCAGTTCGATTTTTAAACTGATCGATTTTTAAACTGATCGATTAAAACCGATTCGGCATAAAGCCTAAATCGAACGCTTCATGCATATCCCTTACTCGTCGGTATATAGTATGTGAATTAATAGAGATTACTTTCACTCCATTGGCAATTGAAAAATTATACATTAGTAGAAGTTCTGATCTGGGGTGTAAATAAGTTGGGTTGGGCTAGACTTTGGTTTAAATAGCTCAAGCTTATGTAAAATACTTTAAGCTATTCTGGTCTGTTAGCCTTATATAAGCTCAAATTATATGTGTGGTATTACCTATGTTTTAAAAATAAAAATCTTATCTTAGGCTTGTTATTCTGTTTGATCCTATTATATATTCAATAATTAAAAAAATATTACTTTATTATTCAAAATCGTTAAAATAATAATTTTATTCGAAATAAATAATATGATATAGGCCGATTTATAAGCCTAACATGTAAAAGAAAGTATATAATCTGTTTTTTTAAATAATTTTTTTTAGGCTTGAGTATGTTTTATTTGACTATGTATAATGTATCACATATTTTTAATCTTTTTCTATAGATATTTTATATTTCTTTATTCTTTTTCTATGAATTACTAATTTAACAAATATAAACATACTAACAGTCTGAAGCTCCATGAAATAAGATAAATAGGGAAGGTTTAGGGCTTTTTCACCCTTTTGCCCCTTATTAATTAATTAATAATTATTTTGTCCCTGATTCGAAACTATCTATCAATCTGTCCCTCTTTAATCAACAACCTTGCATTTTTAATCGACTAAATGGCCAAAACAGACAAAAATGGCTGTTGGGAGATTTAGTCGACTAAATCTCCCTACTTAATCGATTAAAATCATACTGACTTGTTTAAGTAGGGAGATTTAGTCGATTAAATCTCCCAACAACCATTTAGTCGATTAAAAATGTAAAGTAGTCGATTAAAGAGGGGAAAATTGGTAGATAGTTTCGAATCAGGGACAAAATAGTTATTAATTAATTAATGAATGATAAAATGGTCAAATAGCCGAAGGTTTAGTGTCGCAAAAAATGCTAAACAAATTGTGGCAGTTTGCACCTTACAGGAAGTGAAATATTTTGTGGAGGTCTTTAACCTACTGAAAGTCAAACATATGGTGAAGGTTAGAGAATGTCATAAATTGCAATATTTATGAGGGTCTGAAACATCCACAAAATACTCTAACAAATAGTGAATTCCACAAAATATTGTGGCACATGCAATACTGGCATTTGTGAAAAACGCTATAAATATATTTTGTAAGAGTCAAAGACCTCCACTTTACAAATATGACACCCACAAAATACGTGAATTTTTATAATAATAACAGCTATAATAGATATTTGTAATGAATTGTAACATTTATAAAAGTATCTTTAATATAAAATTTAACATTTAATAAATATAGTTTCCAATAAAAAAATATTTAATAAATATTTTCAAACATTACAAATTTAGTCATATCCTATTTTTTATCAATTATAATGAAGATTTGAAGTTTCTGAACAACACCCTCAATCATCGACGCAGATGTCAATATCAATTATCAATCTCAACTATTCACTTTGAATAATCTCAAGAAAAGTCACTTCAGTTTTAATTGCCTTTTTCTTATTTAATTTTTTCGTAAAGTCACTTTATTTTAATGATACACGAACCAAATAATAGTCAAATTAATAAAATAATGATAATGAGAGTCTACCAAAAATAAAAAAAATACAAAAATAATATTTAAACCTATTTTCCCTTATAATATTTTAAATTATTTTTTTTGTTGGATTAAAATAAAATCAATAATTATAAAATAATATTAAAGAAGAGTCATTAATTTGATTTTGATTAAATAATAAAAAAAAATAATTACAAAATATTATAAAAAAATAATACAAAAATATAATATTTGTCAAAAATAATAAGGACGTCTCTGTAGGATTATAAAAAATATTTTTTAAAGGATGAATTATTATGTCTATTGTATATATTTATTTCCATATCATTTAATTATAATCGCAATCAATAGTGAATGCGGTACGAGAGAATAAGAGATTGTAACTTAATAATGTGAAGATAAGTATATAAAATAAATATGAAAAAAATATAAGTATAATACTATATTAATTCTTAGATTTAAAAAAATTTGCAATTGTTTTTCCATGATATATATCATATTTTGGATATAGCTAGAATCCAAATATACTGACCAATCCTAATGTTGTTCTCCAATAGATCGCATAATAATAGGACACGCATACTCCATTTTCTAGTGAGTTGCAGGCAGAGTTCGATAAGTTCAAATTGTTATTATATATGTTAAATACGACGGCAAAAAAATTAAAATAACACTTTATTATGTGGAGAAAATAACACTTTATATTTTTTAAAATTCAACCGAATAATTTTCTTATTTAAATGACTAAAATAATTTTTAAATATGTTTTAATTAAATACAATAGCATTTTTTTTTGTATAAGACTTTATTTTATAATAAATATTGTTAAACATTACAATTCATCCATATTAATTTTTCGTTGCTTAAAATGGACTTTTCAAGTTTATCAGTAACACCCTAAACCATCAAACGTATGACCATATCTATTTCCGCAGCTCACTTAAACTATCAATAAAAAAGAAAAGACACCTTATCTTCTTTTTGGAAAAGTCACTTTACTTCCTAAGCCAAATCAGAAGGCAAATCAAATAATAATTAAACGAATAAAATAATAATGAGATACCCATTAGATTGTTATTATCTTGAGTGGGGTATACAAGAAGCCTTGTTATTAAATGTTAAGAAGATAAAGTTTCTTATAAAACCTCTCAATGTCTCAAATAATATCCTTTCATTTTTTCTTTCTTTCTCCACTAGTTTTTCTCTGTAGTAAATATGTCCACACAAATATTATTATATTTTTCTTTTATTTGCATATGAATTATCAATGGTTGTACGTTATATGTCCTGGACAAAAACAAGAAAAGTTTTCTTTCTTTTTTTCAATAAGAAAACATAGTATTGTATACTGAGTATATATAGTAAGGATCCAAATAAAATAACCAATCCCATGTGATTTTGTACATGGACCCAATATTAATAAGACCCCACATATTCCATATATGGGTATCATCATATATGCAAGACACATGCACCGTTTATGAGGGAAAAAAAAAGGAACACTTATGATTTTGTGCGAATAACATTATTGAATGAATGGTCTACAAAATTAACCTCACCTTGAATATCATCAAGATTAACTTTACCCAACAAAAAACAAGAAAAAGAGTAGATGCGAGAAAAAATATTTGTTATTTTAAATGACAATAAATTATGTCATTTTAAGAGAGAGATAGACACAGAATAAATTTTTTTATTTAAATTTTAAATTAAAAAAAACTCATCATTTTTTATCTTTTATGATTCTTATTTTCTTTGTCTATCTTTCTCTTAAAATGACATAACTTATGTTATTTAAAATGAGAAAGAGCATATTCACAAATGAAACACGTAAGTAGCAGAGTGGGGCTCGTGTTACAACAATGATATAGGCACTATCACTATCAAAAAAATGACCATACGATAGAAGCAGAAAAACAAGAAGACACAATAAGTGAGAACCGAAAACAAGAAAACTGAAGCAACAAGAAGTAAGCATTAATTAGTAACAAAAGAAGCAAATGGCTATGTCGCGAAAGCGAGAGACACGCGAGGTGTGTTGCGGTTAGACTTTGCAAGCGGTGGTTTATTGACACACCCTATAACCCTAGTACTACCACTACTACTTGTATTACTATTAACACCAACACCACTAACAATCACGTGATGATTCACGTGCATCGAAGGTGTGGTCCCACACTTCACAGGTTGTGGCCCCACACTCACCGCTTTCTCGCTCCGACAACTCACCAACAACCCATTTCCTCCCTTTCTCTTCCACTTCTCCGCCGCCACACCACCGCCGCCTCCTCCGCCGCCGATGTAATCCTCGTGCGCTTCCGCTGTGGTCACGCTCCACTCGATGCTGGCCTCGCTCGGCTCGTACGCCGTCGTGGTGGTGGACCCCTCGTCCATGCTCCGGCGACCGAAGAAGAAGCCGTTGTTGGTGGCGCCGGAAGCCTCGTCGAATGAGTCTCTGCTTCCGTGACGGTACATGATAGGGTACGTGGATTGCGTGGCGGTGGAGAAGCTCTCGATCTCGAAGAGATCGGAACTCGCGTCGCTCGCCGCGTCGTCGACGTCGACGGCTCCGGCTCCGGCTCGTGATTTCTGTTCCACGGTGTTTTCCGGTGGTTGAAAAACTTCAAGGGAATCTCGGGGTGGGTCTTCTTCAACGACGCCGTTTGGGATGTGGGGTTTTGGGTTTGGGTTTAGCACAGGGAAAGTGAAGCCATCGGTGAAGGGTGTTTTCACAGAGGTTACAGCTCCGTTCGGATGAAATCTTTGAGATTTCGTGGCTACAAAGGTTGTTGATGCTGCTGTCTGGTTCACAACCCAATTGTTGGGTGTGATATGATTAGGAACATCCTTGGACTCATGATCATGTCTTTTGATGTCGTTGAGAGAATAATTTATTGCCGGTTCCCGTGACGGCGGCGGCGGTTGCGACAATTGGGCGGTTTGGGTTTTGGATTGTTGAATGTTTTCTTTGACTTGTACTGATTTTTTACCTGTGCATGGACATTTTCTCCTTAAAAGCCATATAGGTTTGGAGAGTGATGATGATGTAAATGTTGTTCTGTTTTTCTTGTTGAGTTCATTGGGGTTTGGAGGGTTTTTCATTGAGACTGGGATTGCACCTTTTGGATGAGATAACAACCCAGCTTGGCTGTTCCAACTTGCTTCTGATGAAGCTGTTGGTGTAGCAGCATGGAATGAACGTGCTCTGTAGTTTCTGATGATGGCATAGCCATCAACTGAGGATGAAGCTGAGGAGTATCTTGTTGTCTCTGTGATGATGTCACCTCGTTCTGGAATGCGTTCCATGTCTGTGTGAATCATGGGAGAGACTCTACTGTTGCTGGTGATGGTAACTTTTTGGGTTTCATTGTTGGTCACTTCATTGAAGTACTTGTGAGCATCGAATATGCTAAGCTCAGAGGTGGAATCTTCAAGAGCTCTACGTATTCCAGATCCAATGGCATGATGATGTGGTTGGCAAGTGATTGGTTTATCGGGTCTGAGATAGGAAGAGAAAGATGCATCTCTGTCTCTCAGGTTTGGTGATTTTGGAGTCAGGTTGCCATGAAAGGTCTTCATCACTGTTTATGATCTTTCCAACTTTTTTTTTTTCCTTTTTTGAGGGATGTTATTTTAATATATTTGTAACTGGAAAAGCTGAGAGCATGAAACTGAACTAGGAAGTTGTTGCTTATGAAATTCCTTATGCTGATATATATGTGTTAAGGTCTGTGTACCTGCTTGTTCTGTCTCCAATTATAAAGCTGTAAAAACTAGAAACATCATATTCCCTCACCCCACCTTTTTTCCTCCCTATTCAATGAAACAAATTCCCAACCTATGATCTGCTTCACTTACTTTCTCAATGTATTATAAGTAAACAACAAAAGTCTGAATTTAAAAACAGAATATCCGGACTAGATTAGGATATCTAATTATCTATGTATAATAATACAAAAAAAATTATCTATATGTATAGATAGAGTGATGGAATAACCAATTATATGTGATATACTTCATCATTTGGTTGCATCATGGCCATCTGTTAGTAGCTATCTCTGTCTAGATATTCAATCATTGAAACAAAATTCAGTGCCTTTCGATTGTAAGCCAGAGATAACAGTAGGGCTAGCACACAGCACAGTAAAATAAAAAAGAAATAAAGTACATTAAAAGTATTTTTTTTCTCTACACAATTTTAATAGGCCTATGATTCTCCATGTTTGTAAAGTTGCTATTAAGTACAATTTATTCATTTCAGAGCATGCTGCTGTTGATATATAGATGTACTATATCTTGACAATGCCTCTGGGATTCCCAGTTGTATTACATATCAGAGAGCTATTTAAATGTGATGCCACACCTCAAATTCAATAGCTATTATCAAAATATAACATGTTTAGGATTTTATGTTGATATATGACAGACATTTAAGCTCTTCAAATTATTGACCACTGTTTTTTCTATTACTCAATTACCTACAGTTAAGCAACTAGTCCAAATCAGTGTCTTGGAATGACAGAAGAATGTTAGGTCTATGTTGTATGCTTGGTGAGCCTTATAGGACTCCGAGGCAATGAAGGGTTGAAGGTTACTATTTCAGGCCTAAATATTGCTGGAATAACTTTATCCCTTGATTGATTGTTTGTTTCCAAACTCAAGATCCGTGACCATTTTTCACGTTCTTTTACTTATTTTGTAAGTAAAGTTTTCTCTTCATGTGGCCCCCTGGTAAGTTTTGGTGGCATTGATTCAATAGAATTAGGCAAGGAAGCAAGTCCTATCTGACATCATAATCAGCCAGATTGCTATGTGAATGTGTGAGGGTCCATTGGATTTGACATTTAGGGAAGTAAGGTATGTCTGAACTCTTGAGAGACCATGAAGAATTGTCCTTGTGGGTTAACCCAATCAATTATCAGAGGTGGATTGATTTTGGAAGCAGTGCATGGTGGGTCACAATTAACCTTCTAGCTAACATGCACTGCTTTATTGCCTGCCTTTAGACAATTTATGTGTATGGCTCTTGATCAGGTGGTGGTCCAAATTTTGCCTTAGAACAAGATTTTGATTGCATTCTTTCTATCAGATAATATAATATATTCTTTTTACTTTATAATTCTTTAACTCGTTTTCAACATCTATTCCTTTACAAACTTTTTAGTTTGGTTGATGCCGAGTAGTACACATTAATCGTTTAGTGAAAAGGGGTGTTGCCTTTTACACTTCGTGTTTTATTACTAATTTCTTGATATAATATTGTTTTAATTTTTTTGGTTTCTTCTTTCTTCTTGATAATCCTGTTGGAGATAAGATTCCCTTATTCAATATTATAGTATGTACGTTGTGTGAATGTGTGCGTAGTTTAAGGGTTCCCCCCAACGCGAAAAAAGAAATGATAAATTATAAATAATCCCCTAATGTTTTAGCCATTTTCAACTTCCATACATAAAGTTATTTTGGTAAGGCATAAATTGCCTGTAGTTTGAGTCACAATTAAAAATGTTAAATTCAGTAAATTTTAACATCTCATAGATCGGGTTGAAAATCAGTCGAGTGAGTTTGTAAATTGCTTTATATTCTTATTTTGAAGGCACATGCTTCACACATAACCTATGAGACATTAAAGCACTATAATTTAACATCTTTAATTCTAACTCAAACTTCAGGGAAGTAATGTGTTACCAAATACACTACGAATGCAAACTGAAAATGGTTAAAAGATTAAGGGTTTATTTATATTTTACCCAAAAATTAAGAAATACGAAAAAAGAAAAAAGAGAACTCAAATGTGCTTAGAGCCTACACTTTCATACAAGCCCAAAAACTTGCTCTAAGCCCAAACCCAACAGCTTATAGTACAGCATTTAATTAAGGAGGTCCAGAGGGTGGGCCAGACAAAAGTAGAGACTCGAGTAAAGTGGTTAAACTATTTCTTTTTAATTGATTGATTTTCTCCCTTTCCTTTAACCGGCAAATTCTCTGTATCATCAATCAAAGCATAATCAGAGTTGGTTAACACACCTCGTGTAATTGAAAAAATTACTTTAGTATTGGACAATAGACTATGCTTTTACTTTAAAAATTATTTGAGAAAATTTGATCTTTACTTAATTGGTAGAAAATGCCTAATCTATTAAGAGTTAATATTTCTTATATTGTAGGAGATAAATTTTATTTTTTATATATACATAAAAATGATAGTATAATAAGTATTTGAATATTTTTTTTAAAAAAAACTTTAAAAATATGACTGTCTCATGTTACTTTTGAAGAAGTCACCAACTTAGCTCGCCAACTCCTAAAGAAATTAAATGGACCTCATACAAATGTTTTTTTTTTTTTTACACCTTCTAATTTACATTTCATTAGTCCAAGACAAATTGGCCTGATAATACACAATTGAACTTGGTCAAAGTGGTGATTAAAGGATGATTGTGATGGGATACTCAGTTCTGCTTCGCGAAATGGTGTTTGTTGGATGATGATTCTTAGGATAGTTACACTCAAATGCTCAAATTAATTTATGAGAGATGAGCATAAATAAATTGAAAGAGGATGATCCTACATGGGTTCAAGTCTCTCTTTTATAGTAATGGCATAACCTGCATATCTCCTTAGTATATCGCATTAATATAGCGACATACATTCTTATTGATGGATTGTGATAACTTCATCAGCTTATCTCATCTGCGGGATACCTTTGGTAAGTTATGATATGTTATCAAGTGTGGTTGTGCATTTGTGAGACTACGTGCACACGTGATATGCAATTTTTTCCATACTTACTAGGCCTTTGTCTTGGGTTACCAACATTCATATTTTACAATCTTTTTATAAGAAAAAAGGAAAAAAATCTCTCTTATTTTCATAAAGAAAATTATTAAGTAAAAATATAAAAAAAATGAAGTTTAGGAATATCATTGTTGAAAAACATAATCATACAAATTCGTATGATAAATCTATTAATTAAAAAAAAAAAAAAATCCTAGCCAACAACGAAGTACATGTCATACATAAATCTTCAAGAGTGTAACTTGTAAGAATGTCTCTTTTCTTGGTTGCTAGGAGCTTCCACCACCACACACACAAAAAGTGAATGGAAATATGGCTAAACCAGAGAAAGCTTTTTTCGCCATCCATCATCTATGGCTCATCTTCCTTCTTCTTTTCTCAGAACTATTTTCCATATCTCATCCCGACCTAGTTTTCCTTTTCTTCTACATCCTCTCAATAACCCCATCACTCTTACTCCACCATACTTCAATCCACTAACTTGTTCAAAGCAACACCTGAACCGCAGAAGCAGCAACTCCAAGCTCTTGGCTATTTCTTACAGGTATTTCACCGAAGAAGAAGATGATGATGATGATGATGAGGATGCCGATGAAGACCACAACTTTGATGAAGCAGTGGCTCTCTTCAATAGCGGAGAGTACTACAAATGCCATGACTATCTTGAAGCCCTTTGGAACAACGCTGAAGAGCCCACCAGAACACTGATTCATGGAATATTGCAATGTGCAGTGGGTTTTCATCACCTCTCCAACCAGGTTTTAATATAGGAATTTATGTTTATCATTTAACATAATATAACTTCACTCTCCTACACACACATTAAAGAGGTGGGGTCCACATGTTTTTCTTTCTCTTTCATCATTCCACTTTCTCTCTCCCTTTTGATGTGAGAGTTGGAAACAAAACTTACATTATGTTACATAACACTAATAAAACCCTTTAATATATTACTTTGTGTCAAAGTTTCATTTTATTTATGGTATGGTTTTGCTTGGATTATGAGTTATTGTATTGAAAAAAATCTGTTCATGGGGCCTAATAGAATCATAGAGGAGCCATGATGGAGTTGGGGGAAGGAATATGTAAACTGAGAAAGATGGAGTTCTCAAATGGACCATTTCTTAAGTTTGAGAAAGAGATTTCAGCTGTTTTGGATTTTATCTACCAGACTCAGATAGAATTAGCTGCATGTGAGTCATTCTAACCTTGAAATGCTACCATGCAGTGTGTTTGGTTTTGAAGAAATTACATTATTTTTTTTCACCCTTGAATATGAGCAGGTAGTGAGGATGTTTGTGTTGCAATGGATCAATCAGAAAAGTCGTACCAACTTCTGGGGGAATATGCTGCAGGGCAGCGTATATATTATCTAGAACTTGGTCATGATGCATCAGTGTACATAGTGTTCTGTCCTCAAGGGTCTTATGGTGCAATTGAAACCCCAAAGGTTAAGCTTCCCAAGCTTAAGGCTACCATGGAACATCTTGTAGCCTATGAATACAAGTAAACATCTCAAGATCAATCGTGTAGATCAAACCGCATGCAAAATTTGTTCTTCACTTCAATTAGAGACTGCGTGCTACATATTACTTGCCAGGAAGAGTCCTAGACAACCTTTGTAAGCCCAAGAAAAGTAAATAAAAAAATTACTCTTGTATTATACTCTCTTATAATTGCTTATTTTTTTTAATTTTTTAATTTTCTCTTTTAATCTATACTAATTAAATTTTACCTGAAATAATTATGAAATAATCTATACTTAATAGTTGAATATCAAATAGAAGACTATGGGTGTGAAGAGACTGGAGCTAAATTTGATCATGATTACAGAGGATGTCTAATTGACCATGACTACTGACTACAAAAAAAAAAGCTCAGTATCCAGCAAATGCTAGTAAATAACATAGATTTATGAGCAAAATTCATGAATACAAGCAATTTCCATTGGCAAATCAAGGATCATTATAGTAGATAATTTTTTTTCCTTGTTTAAGCAACGTAAAGCATTAAAAGTCATCAATAAATGTCGTTATAAAGGGCCTAAAGTAAAAATGAACTGGTTCTAATTCTAATGTTATCTGGCTGAAATTCCCAGCGCTGACAAGTAACAAATTAAAAATGAATGCAAAATGGAAGCATCAACCTCAGAAACAAAATTGCAAGCCCTATCACATAAACAAAACCACTTCCTTTTCAATTTCTGGGCATCAGCTCAGTGATTGTAACTATTAGTCAGCTGTCACCATTCACCAATTCAGCTTCATGCTCACATGTCTAGGTGAACTTGGTGGAGATTGCAAGACTCTAATGTCAGTCTCATGAAATAATCTAACTCTGGTTGAAGCTGGAGAAAATCAGCATTTTTTATAGTCAACTGAAATTAAATTAACCATGGAAGACAACATTATTAAGCAGAGTATGATTGGACAATTCGCACAAATGGAGTGTAACAAGTGTATAAAGTGTATAGAGTATGTTATTAAATACATGTGTTACCGGGCAATATGGCCAAAATGATATGTTTATTATGGTAATGCATGAGTGACACTTATTTTGACTAACATCAAATGCAAACATTAATTATCTAAATGCACAATACATTCATCCACACCAGAATTTAGAGTAAATATATTGTCATCACAAGGGACACTGAGAATTAATGCCCTCAAGCTCACAAGAGGATCACGCCCTTTTCTCTATTTTACATTAACATGATCTCAATTCCATAGATAGACAGCGTAACAAATTTGTTGTATACCTTTTTTTGGGTCATGGAAGGATACTATTCATTGAAAACAACATTTCCATTTATATAGATATTTTTCCTCGTTATCTTTTAACTTTATTCTAGTAGAAATGCACATAGAATTTATATATACAGATTGACCAGTGATCCAGGCTTGAATAGATCAAAGTTAGGTTGGGTTTGATAACTGACCATGATTAACTATTAATGGTACTTTGCCCAACCTCTGTATATTCACGCTTACCTGCATATGACAGATTATTACGATCCTACTTTAAGGTATGGGACTTAGAGTCCCGTATCGGAAACATAAGGTTATAGTGTGGGGTTTATATGGACTTTGGACTCTCATACCTCATAAGCTAGCTTTTGGGATAAGGTTCGTATCAATTGGTATCAGAGCTTTCCATTATGTCTCCCGTAGCAATCGAGCGGCCTAGGTGGTAATGTTGGCATTGCAGTGTTTGCTCAGGACTAGTAAAAGACTAGCGTAAAGCCAGCCCACAAGAGTGCCGGGGCTGCGGAGCGTGATGGAATGTTACGATCCTATTCCAAGATATGAGACTTGGAGTCCCACATTGGAAATATAAGGTTTTGGTAAGGGATTTATATAGAATTTGGGTTTTCCTACCTCATGAGCTAGCTTTTGGGGTGAGGTTCTCCCAAGATTTGTATCACAGACACAAATGGAACACTCCTTGGTTTATGGCTTCATCCTTGATGATTTTTTTCTTTTTTTAATTCCTCTACTTTAGCTTTTTCCTTGCTAAATACAATTAACCTTAACTTTACATACCTATCTCCCATATAATACAGCAAACTTCCAATCACTCTTCTTGAAGGTCAAAGTTTCAGAAGAATACAACTTTGTTCTAGTGGTTGACCATCCTCAAAGCCTTCCATGTTTCAAGCACTATCATCTTTTTCCAATTGAGACGGGTCCTTTTCTTTCTTGCTTTCTAGTTAATATTAAGACAACACCATGTTAAATATTTATAACTATTCACCTTCCCTTTTTCATTTAGTTTATTTAGAACGTTATTAGCCTTGGCAGCCTTGTAAAGAACCTTGGGATACATCACCCAAAAACTAGCTCAAAGGGTGGGGTGCCCAAGGCCTTATAAACTCCACATTAGTTGCACATACAACCAATGTGGGACTATATATCTCAACACGCTCCCTCACACGAGAGCCCATTGGGCTTGAAGAGTGGAAGATGCAACAAGCCCAGTCTACCTGTGCTAAGAAAGTTCACAAGAGAAAGTGGGGGGCGGCGAGGCTCTGATACCATGTAAAGAACCTTGGGATACATCACCCCAAAAACTAGCTCAAAGGGTGGGGTGCCCAAGGCCTTATAAACTCCACATTAGTTGCACATACAACCAATGTGGGACTATATATCTCAACAAGCCTCTACAACAGTCCACAAAAAGAAAAAGAAAAAAAGTGATGATTGAAGAGATATTAGAAACCCAAATACATGCCGAGCACAAACACATACCAAAATGGCACACATGTACATCTGCACACACACACACACAACAAAGTGAGAGAGAGAGACCTGAAAATCCTTGTTTCTTCCTCAATAAGCAACGGTCTGATGTTTATAATTACTCTATAGGCCTTGGGAGGTTCGACAGCGGAAATATATAAACTGCATTAAAATCTAAATCAGATATTAAGGATCATATTTCTTCTGCTCGTTAACTTTCTGTACATGGCTCAATAGGAATCTCATATATACATTTTGCCGTCCTTTCTAATTTTAAATATTATAGTATAACACGTATTTTCTTTTCTTTTCTTTTCTTTTCAGTTAAAAATGGTCCTTAACTATTCTGAGTGTCTATAACCAGAATTCTTATTAAATTGAAATGAAAGGGGAAAAAAAATATATTCCTGTCTAAGAGGCTTAAGATAATCAATATACATAACTTTCCAAGTTAATAAGCTAAACTCTAAGGTTATCTTTGCTGATCCTACATACAACTTTTACTATGCAGGATCTAATTCTCTCTAGCAAGAATAATTTGTTAGAAGATAAATATATAAAAAGGATACAAAAGAATCAAGAAGGACACATCCTCCTGCGTCTACCAGCCATGGTAGATTTGGTCTGATTCTTGACCAATCCAAGCTGCTCACAAGTATGCTACATAGAAAAAGTACATGTTCATTGAATATATTTGATAATGTAAAAATTATGTATTTCATGCATATCACCCAATAGGGTGTGTTTACAATATATAATGAGAGCATAAGTGTAAAAAAGGAAACAAAATGAGTACAATATGTTAAAAATGGTCTCTATCATAGTTGAACCCACCAAGCCTAATTATGATAATTACTAGGATTTTTCCAAAGATAATTTCACACTTTCACTATATTTTCAATTGGCAAGAGTTACTTTGGTGCCGAGACTGAACATAGACATATAGAAGATGATATAAAACAGTTGCGTACCTTGCTACGTAAGTGGCATTCCCAATTAAAGCAAAGAGAAACATCAGAGGATTGAGGCCCTACATATCATAAAAGACAGCTTTAAACCCTGCCCTCTGTGCTAATTGACACTGCTTCGTGCAACTAGAAAAATATATCTTTTCCTGCTCTCATAAGGGTGATCTGGTGAAGGGAGGAGATTTCTCTGCCATACTCCTATCCCTAAGTTTTCAGTTGCTAAATAACAAATAAGAGTAAATACATAAAGGCCACCGCTTTGATAGTTAAGAGTCCTAACCTCAGCATGACCCCTTCTAATCTGCAAAATTGATGAGAATTATGCATCAATACAACAATCAGCTTAACAAGAGGAACCAATCCAGTTTAAAGTGCATGATCTACTAGAAAATGACACTTAATAGATGATTTTGAAATTTTCCAAATATACTAACCAGTTTCTCATGGAAAATACCAAAAGAAATCATTTATCTTGCCCTTGTCTATTACATTTTTATGCGGATTATTCTGTATTCTTGTTACGATCCAGTAGCAAGGTATGAGACTTTGAGACTCACATCGGAAGCATAATGTTTTGGTGTAGGGCTTATATGAACTTTGAGATCTCCTATCTTACAAGTTAGCTTTTGGTGTGAGGCTCTCCCAAGGTTCGTATCAATTCTTCTATTATTTTCTATAAAATATTTTTCCAGGTTTACGGATAATACAGGTTATACAAGTGATGTGATGAATGACTACAGTCCATTACCAGTTAAACAATAAAAATCTAATCTCCCAGAACAGAATTTTTTTTCTGTAGAGATTCCAACCTAAGCTACTAAAATAAACATATAACTCACATTTAAACAAATTTGAGGTAGTCTTCCACCCAAATATATAAATGTCATTGCCCAACCAAGGAAGGTCCCAAAGCTACTGCTTCCTGACGTGCCATTTTCGGACAACTGATCACCATTAACCTGAAAATCCTGTAAGAATTGATGACAAATAGAACAGTAAATAAATATTTTTCTTTTAATATACTTAAAAGTTAAAAATCAATATAACCTTAAATACTGCTTAAAACTAGATCTTTAGTCATCCACAAAAGTAACTAACAGAAAGGGGAACTTTAATTCTGATATGGAAACTTAACACAATATCTACGCATATACATTTGGATAACAACAACAGTATTGAAATGATTACAGAGAAGCACTGAAATGTAAAGAAAAATACAAGAAATTGAAGGGAAAAAGTCTTAGATAACCTAGAACACTTCGAGAGGCTCTAGTCTCTCCCAATCCCAGCCCAAACCAAAGATTCCAGATAATCCACATTGGTTTCCCCACTCCTTACTTAACCAACATTCTTCCTGCAAAACCTCAAGTCCCTAACTGAATTCTGTTCAACTGCTATATCCTCTAGAATATTCTTCTCTAACCAACTCCCTTGCTGACTTAGCATGCCAAAGAACTAATGATCTCCTATATTTCTTCCAACAATACATCCTCACGCCTGGTGTTCTATCAAATACATTCACTCTCTCTCATCCAATTGACTAATAATATGTCAACAATCACCTAGCCATTGCCTAACAGTAACCAAAAAGTTTCAGATCGTGAATAACTGGTTAGAGGTACTAACTGGTTAAACAGGCATAGTCTTCTGTAGGGGCAAAAGGATGTGGGATACAAAATCATACATCAGGAAGGGGAAAGTACTTGGAAGAGGGTTACGTTCGACTTCACAACTGATCATCAAATTGACCAAAAAAGAAGTGACAAATTAAAAAAATAAAATAAAATCAGTTGACGATCAAGTTATTCCTATTCTAATAGTATACACTAACAAAATTAGAAACAGCCAGGTGCATATCCAACCAAGGGTGATTTTACATACCTAACCAATTTGGGACTTGCATTACCTGAAAAAGCTTTCGCCCAACATAAATCACAAATTGTTGTCTTGGGTTTGCGACCATGGGATTAATTCTTTTATCTAGTGATTGAAGTAGATTAATAGTACCAAGAAAAGTTAACGTTGACACCTGAACCAAGATTATATGCAATTAGATTTCAATGCCGGTGTTGGCATAGTAGCAGTAGAACTAGAACGCTTACCAAACAAAGAGCAGATTTGATCCTTAAAGCAGGTGCAGATTGTGTGGCAACAGCTGAACCAAGCAAGTTCTCTTGTATAGAATCTAAAATAGGAGAAGTAGGTGTCATTCTCTGGGCTAAGATGGATCCCGCTGTTGGTGTATGACTCTGAGATAGATATCTTGCGGACCTAGTGAATTCAAAACAAAATGAGTATACCAGTAAGAATTTCAGTAGATTTTGCTGTGTAGTGAAAGTGGCATTATTCTTTGATGTTAATACCCCAACTGAAGGATATTGAACTGCAGAATTGACGAGGGATGAGATCCAAAATTTCCTAGCAAATCTAAGTACAGGTTATGCATAAATAGTAATGTGCTATTTGAAATTCGAATCTTATCTCTTTATGACTGAAGTAAGGGTTATTGCCGGTTTCCAAGAGAACAAGATAAGCTTATCCTCACACATTGACTACCAGAACCAACCACTGACCACCATAATTTCTGGATGGTCCTATGAGATTGAAGGTATTTGTATTTTAAACTTACCACTTTGATGAAATGAATTTAAGTTTTTCAATTATATACTGCCCTAGATGGAGGGAATCAGATATATTTCTTTATACCAAACACTTCACGAGATTGAGGTTGACAAAAAAGCTAGAGCACAAGAGTACATTTTGAATAGATTTCAATGAGAAAGATTAATTACTGGTAGAATAATTCTCTTCCAGTAGAAATTCTTTGAGGACGTGCTGGAAGAGGAATAGGAGAACTCAGACCAGTGCCTCTGTTGAAATCATCAAATCCATTACTCTGTTCAGCATCACTGGCTTTTTTAACTAGTTCAGCTTTTGTTGGTGTCTCAACCTGCCCATGCTTTGAATGCTAGAATACAAATGAAAATAGTATATTAGGAAATTAGAGTTTACACTAAGTACCTCAACTTGTCTAGGCTTGCTCACAAACTTTTTGAAAACAGTTGTAACTATGAAATATTGTTTTTCGTAACTTTTCTCTACCATCTAATATGACCATATAGTAAAAATAGACAAAGGAAAAATGCAGGAAAAACTCTTCGCATGTATATTAAACCATTAATAAAATTCAATTTTAAAATATTAGCTCGAAAAAGATAAAACTTTTTTTTTTTTTTTTTTGGTGATTTGAATGATATGGATTGTCTGCATTATGCAAATAACTGCCAAGATACCTCAGCCAAAATAGCTACTTAATCTTTCTCCTTGGAGATAAAGGCCACAGTTATATGATTATAATCTACCCACACGGTTGAGTGGGTGTGCATTATACAAAAACCAAGTCCATTAATAGTCAGTACACATAGAAAGAGGGCAGACAAAGGCACCTGATTATTTGAGGTCCAGAGCAAGACTGACTCCGAATCCAACTTCTTTGTAGATTGTTTAATATTGAACTTGATCATTCATTTTGATTCCCATTTAAACAGGAAATACACCACACATATTGGAAACAGAATTTACCAAGAGTCTATTACTCATGGGTTATCTTCACTTCACATGGAGGAGGGAGGTATACTGTTTCCAATTTTGAAAAAGCAATAATAATCAGAAAACATAGTATAGGGATTTGCACCTTGAGCAGTCTCTCATATTGTAGTCGAGGATATATGCGTCCATAGTAAATGGTTTGTGAACCAAGTACAATAGTTATAATGGTATACAGCTGCATATTAATACATCAGGAAAAAGATCACATTAACTAGATGAGGCTGGGAAAGTCAGTTATAATGGTAATACCATAACCCCTCAGTCTTTGGCTAGAGTCCTTACCACTGCCATATACAGTTGAGTTGGAAGCTGCATAAACAAGAAATAAAAGGAATAACTTAGGATACCTTTTTTAATCAAGCATCACCAATTATGTATTGGCATATGATACACAATAAGTTCAACACAAATACCATTCAAAAAATGGGTAAACAAAATACACATGAATCTCCCAACAAAAAGAGAAATTCTTATTCCTCTAAGAGTACTGCTCCCAGTCCACTAAAAACGTAACATGTGGATATCATCCCAATACATGCAATTGGATCAAACCTAAAATATCATATAAAAAAATTGCTATAAAATCTGAACTGTTGAGAGTATCTCTCTTGGAGTACATAAGTATTTTCCTAACGAATGCCTTCTGAGAGAACAAAATGAAAATAGTCTTCTTTTGCCAACTAATTATTTGAGAATGTGAGAGAATAATCCTGTGTTTGTGTGTTAGTACTTGATGGGCTTATACTAGTTGTATTACACTTGGAAAAAACTTGGTCTATTAGTACACACACAACAAAAACATACACTCTTAACATCTCCAAAAAGAAAAAGAAAAAAAAAGAGCAATGTTAATTGATATTGTGAATGAAGTATTTCTAAATAAATTGATTTTGTAATTCATTCAAAACTTAAAAATTCAAAGACTTAGAGAACAATAATCTTGACCATGAATGGAGCATGAAATACTGTTGGTAATGCAATCTGTATTACGGTTTTAAAATAGAGTCTTCAGTTTCAGAGTTACAAGAGCTTTGACAAGGCAGATTAACAATTTCTGCAGATTTTGTCTAGCAACTTTTCGTTTTACAGTTCTTTATTTATTTATTTTACGGTATACTATTATATTGTTCATTTTTTAGAGAATTTTCAGAAATTCTCAAAGATTGTGAGAGGGTTTTCAAGGAGTTACTAGAGTGTACATGGTTTTCCAGGGAATTTCCAGATTTACGGAACCAAATCTAGTGTTAACAAAAAAAAAAAAGGAATCATCCAAGAAACTTTATCTAAACCCAGTTTTCTCAACGAGATAAGTTTTAGTAATAAAATATTTGGTGATTCAAGCACGAACTGTGTTATTTGGCTTATGCGCTATCCAACCCTTGCCTTTTTCCTTGGTTATTGTTCAAAATTATTGTGATGTAATTTTTTTTTTTTTTAATAATGAAAATGGTTTGAATGTTGATAATAGGAGAAAGTAATAGCAAACTTCAAGATTGCTCCTAAAAGACAGGCTACTTAAATCTTTAAAACACAAGAGAGACACTCACAGTTGCAGGTTCCAGCATGCATCCAAAGAGGTTGAATACATCTCTGCATTATAAAATAAATTGTATTACAATAGTGGACATATATAGAAGTTTAGATTTAAGGTTATGTCCACCATATTTTAATGATGTTTTCTTCCCCTTCCCCTTCAATGTAACATTTTGATTCTCCTAATTAACAATTACATGCACCCAACTAATCTAGAACCTACAACCTCACCTTCCTTATTCTTACTTATTACTTCTTAGGAACAGATAAAATTATCCTTAAAAATGAGAATAAAAAGTTCAGAGATGATATTATATGAAAAATTGCATAAAAAGCTCATCCTGAATTTTTCACCTCAATAATAAGGGGATACCAAAAAGATTCTGAGAGCATAAATTTCCCTTCAAGCCATATTCCTAAAGTGGTTTAAACATTGAGTGAATAAGCTCGTTGCACAACTCACATTCATTTATCTAGTAATGAGATCTAAGATCACATACTCAACCAAAGGTTAAATAGATTGCACTTAATACCAAGAGATGTTAGAGATTCAAAGAGACCATCAGAACAGACAAACACATAAATAAGAATACTTAGGTATCAAATATTTAGATAAAACCAGATAAGAAAAATGCAAGCAGCCCTTACGAAATTTTAAAGAAAATCTAATTTACCCGATTATCCATGTGATCAAGAAAGTGACAGAGAGACCTTCAGTAGATTTTGCTCTGTAGTTTGTGATTATTTGAGGTATCTCAGCAACAACCCAAACAATGACACTGATTAGACCTAAGGTGAAAGAAGCTGTCTCCCTCACACTGCTCATATACATTTTGGCCAATTGCAAGCAATGCTGATTGCTATGACACCACAGGGAGAGGGTTGAACTCTCAAAGACTCCTATTACATCAACGGAACTAATATCTACAACACTGAAATGAAGTAAAAACAAGTTTAAAATAAGTACCAAAGTCTCTCTCCTCAGCAACACACTCTAGTGCACTACCACATGATCAGAGATTCAGAATGTGGCAGAAGAAGCAAAATTTGACAATAAAATAGTATATTCCATTATGGGAACTACAAAAAAGAAGTAATATAATAAGAAAGGAATCTTGGGTTGGATTTATGTTTAGAAAGTTTAAACCTTTTTATGGGCATGTTTTCACCTAATGAATTGCTTTGGTGTTTGGTTATGTAATGATGAACGAAAAGGGTAGCAAAGCCAAAAGGGGGTGAATCAATGAATAAAAATTTGAATATTCAGAACGCAAGAAACAGAGAAAGCTGAACATTCGTAACAACATCAAAATTGTAAATAAAACTATCCAAATTCACGTTCATTAAAGGGAAATGAAAAAGCCCAATGATGTTACTTTTGGTTTGGGAAAGAGGGAGAGACAAAGAATCATTGAATGAACCGCACAACAATAACATGCAAAGAAAAACGAATACCCAAAAAGAAAAGCACCAAAATTTTGAGCTGCTTCTCCGAGTTACAACGCTAAATGCAATCGAAAGGAAACGAAACCTTCACTCACCATGCTTTTTTTATAATTTATTATTTATTTATGCTTAATTAATGCATAAAAATAACCTTTTTGTTGAAATTTTCAACAACATTTGTTTAGTATAAACTATTTTAAATATAAAATATCATAGGGAAACCCTGCCATTAGGGGTGGTAAGCGAATTTTCTCGCGGCTGGCCTGAAGTTACATGTCGTTGAAATCGGGCTTAGAATTGTATAAAATACGAGAATTATTTTCCTATCAAACGAGAGTGATATATGATATATGAGAATTGTATAAAAACGTTAGCTTCAAAATTGGAAATTTCGACTACTGGTCCTGTTCGTACGAATCTATGGTATACCTACATTGAATTAAGTTTTATTAACTTATATTTGAAAAAGTTCGCTTTTTCTGCCGTTACTGCATATCACTTATCAGCAATAAATCTAATACGACATCATTTTGGGGCAGAAATCATAGTATTTTTATAATTTTAATTTATTTCAAGGTTATAATAGTCTTTATATTTATAATTTTTTAAGATTTCAATACCAAAACGACGTGGTTTTGAAAAAAATGCAGATAGTTTATTTGCAGTAACTGTAGAAACATTTTTCCCATTTAAAAATAGGGTAATGTTGTATTGACAAATCTTTTTTCTTACAAACTTACAAATTACACTAAGTCTGACTAGCCATATACTCTTAATTGAAGTCTGACTAATCACACTTAGTGTATAGTTTGTAAGTTTATAAGAAAAAAAGTTTGTTAATATAACCGCTCTCTTGAAAATATTCTACCATAGTACATTTGTAATATTGTTATATATTAGAATTAGTGATTAATATTTCTTATATTGTAAGAGATAATTGTATTTCCTATACAGAAGTATGTGGAACTCATGCGGGACTATGTGAAAAGAAGAGAGAAAAAAAAAGAAAATGTGAGCGCACACACTTTTTATATGTGTATAAGAGATAAATTTTATCTCTCTCACAAGATGATAAACATTAATCCCAATTTTTTTTTATAATAATAATTATTTAAGAGATTACATATTTCTTTAATAAGTAGGGTTATATTGACAATTTTTTTTATAAACTTACAAATTACATTATGTATTACCGGTAATACTCTACTTAAGAGTGTATTAACTGTGAGACATAATGTAGTTTGTAACAGTTTGTAAACAAAAAGTTTGTAAAAATAATATTTCCTTTCATTAATAGGAAAAACATTTCTCATGTTGCATAAGAAATATTTTTTCATGTTGTGACTAGGAGTGAAACTAGGTCGGGCCGGCCTACAGGGGCCTACGGCTCGGCCTACGACAGGCCAGACTTGACTTAGTATATTTCGTAAAATAGGTTGGGCTTGAGCCATGAAAAAACTTGTTTAATAAAAAGGCCATAGGCCTACTTTCACAAGGCCTGACCTATAAGCTTACATGTGGGCCTATATTGTATTATTTATTTTAAATAAAATAGAATAAGTATGTCTTTAAGAAAAAACAAAATATATAAATTAATCAATTGCAATTATTTATAACTTAATTATATTCGATTATATTTTAATAGAAATTCAACTTTATTTCTTATGTAGGAGAAATCAACATCTCAACATGTTAGATTGTGTATATGAATATATTAAAAGATTTTTGGAAGATGTTATACTTACTACAAGCATCATGGTGTGTTTGTTAGATATGATAAAATATATGTTATTTAGTTTGAGCATTTTGCTTTTGAAAGTGACTTAAATGCAAATTGTATAAGTTTTGTTGTGATTTATGATTCTGTTTGGACATTGAAATTATTAGTTTTGGAAGTTAATTCATGGTTGTAAAGTTGTTCATAGTTCTGTTTGGAAGTTAAAAGTTAACAGGTTAACAGGGTAAGTCAGGCCATTTGTTTTTTATAAACGGACCAAACCAGACTAACAATTAGACTCATACTAGGCTTGAGGCATGCCAAATTAAAATTTTTTTGCGTAGGCTTGAGCTTTTCGAGACAAAGCTTGGCCCAGCCCAGCCTACTTTCACCCCTAATTGTGATCCTTCGATTTGTATACAATTTTTTTTTTTTTTAATAAGTGTGGAACCAGAATTAGTTGAGTTAAAACATTAAGAAACAATTCTTATGCAAGATGAGTAAATCAAAGTCTTTTTTAATAATCTAATTATCATAATATTATGATAATATATGCTTAGAGGAAAAGTTAAATATTTTCAATGGTATAATAATATGTAATTGTAATTATATTAGATTTCTAATTGAGAACTAATAAATTTGATTACAAGACTTCAGTTTTTTTTTTTTTTTAATTTCAGCTGTTTTAAATGTATTTACTTTCCTAAATTCTACGTGGCAAAGCATTGTGCCATCTTGCCGAGCGAGAAACTCTATTCTATTCAAATTAACTCTCTGCGTCGACGCTTTATTTTGCTTTACCTTTATCTTTTTTACTTCTCTGAAAAGATTAAATTTAAATATGTTATCCTTCCTTTGCCTCCGATGCATATATCATTTTTAACTGAAGCCCACACATTCTCACTTTCTTTTATATTTTGGATGTTCTTTTCTTAACTTCAAAGCTTATCTTAAGCATCACTTCCGAAACACGGAAGAATTTCTCAATATTTATTAGACATGAAAATACACAGTAACAAATTTATAAGATAGATTGCTAAAAATCTAAATACAAGCAAATATGGATGTTAACGAGCCGAGCCGAGTCGAGCTTTGGTCTTAAAAAGCTAAGCCTGTATTTAAATGTGTTAGACTGACCAAGCCTGTTACCTGTTATAAATATAATTATTGGTCTGTGGCCTGATTTATTTATAAAAAATAAAAGCTTGATTTAGCCTGGTAGCCTGTTTAAAAAAAAATAAGAAAATAAAATTTATCCGAACAGAATATATAATTAACAACACTAGTAATTTCATTAATATTCATAAATTTAATGTATATCCAAACAACATAATATAAAACAAAATCATTCAAAAACTCTGTTTAACCAATAAAATAGGGTGAAATGGATTAAGGAGAAAGAGATGACTATTACAAATAGTATATAAAATATACAATAAAAAAAAATAATATAGTAGGCCAGCCTGAGAGGCTCTAAGGCCGAGCTTTTGAATTGGAATCTGAGGCTTTTTTATTAAACGAGCTTTTATTCAACTTCAAACTTGATACGTACAACCAATTTTAGACATGTAAGTTCATGTCTTCACAGTTAACAAGCCGAGCCAATTTTTTGGTTAGCGGTTACATCTTTTTGTTGGACAAAAGTGTAAATATCAGTAAAGATAACAGGCATGAATGTAGAGATGTTTATGTTATCATTTCTTTTTTTTAAAAAAAAAGAATGAATAGAAGAGTCATGACGTTATCCTAAAATTAAAGCTCACTCTAACGTTGAAATCAGTGAATTAAATTTGTTGATGAGCATATATCCTTTTCTTTAGATATTGGTTGCTTATTGGTTGGGAATGGGAATCCAAAGTGCCTTATATATATCACCACAGACACAAACATTCTTCACCTACTTGTCAAAGTTGTTAAGTCTTTGAATGCTCATGGTGCTCAATTCCCTATAAATCAAAATTGTCACGCTATATTCTGATCAAATACTTGCATTGCCGATTTGCACTACAGTGGGAGTAACTGAATTACAGATTTGCATTTTCGGTTGAACAAGGTAATAAACTTGTTTATCAGTTTGTCTTTCCTTCCTCTCATATATAAAATAAGTTATAACAAGACTATCTCACAAAACCTTGAATAATTATACACTGAGTTTAATTTTCATCAACACATATACGATACATTGAGATGTAATAACCCTTCCTCTCCTAGAGATTTTTTTAATTATCACAACAGAAATGTTTTACTAAAGAACCTTAACTTAGTGTAATAATCAATTAAAGATCTCGATTTTGAAACTCATCTCCCAGATATGACTATACATATTGTTTTGTTCTCTAAATTGTTTTGATATGTTAAGTTGGATAATTTTATGTTTTAAGCATTTTTCATTGAATAGAAAGATTCTCAAGTCAAGATGAATCCCTTGATTAGTAATAAATTAAATAACGAAATTTTAGTCCTCAATTAGCTGATAATAATTGTTTTTGGTAAATAATAAAAGTTTATATTAAGAAAGAAATACTCCCATACAAAATTAGGGAAGACCACTAATCTCAACGAGGGTTTATTGTAGGACTGCATATTGTCTACCAAGAAAATCGGAAAATAAAACCTAAGTTATGACTAACGTGGGCGAAAGACTCAACTTGGTGTGCCAAGTTGAAATGATAATTTATTACATAAAAATAATATATACAGCTTAAGACACAATACAGAAAGTTTGAGCAGTGATATGC